AACTGGGATTTAAATAAAAAATAGTTTAGTCACTGTAAGAATTCTTTGTGCTGCTACATTTTTATAAGGTTAAAGCTAAAAATAAGATCAAAATCCTGTTGGACGTTGCATTAAAAAATGTACCAGGTGTGTTCAGAAACCCATCACACACATATGCGTGTTAAACAGATGCTGACCAATAAATTAATTTAAGCTACTCTCCTTTCCAACCAGAGGAGAGCAAAGAGCTGTTAGGGACATTTATGGGGTGACGTTCTCTTGACTGACAAATTTTTCATGTTTGGTCTTTATTGTACAAGTCACTGATACTACTCAAACATTTTCTGAGGGGAAAATGAAATCACTGGCTGCCAGGAAAGCAGAGAATTTAGTAACATCTTTCTAGGTAGTTGGATAGATACAGAAAATGATGGAAAGACTATTAGTTATGAAAAGTGAATAAGGAAACAAGGTTTGAACACTGACCTGATGAAAATAACTTCCAGTAATTCCTTCCATAACAACTCAGGAAATCAAAGTTTACATGTCAAATATCTCAGTCTCCTTAGCACGTTATTCTGCATTGTGACAATTAGCATTTGAGCTGATCAAATGAAAAAGTATCTTGGACTGACCCTAAATCCTACTATGCTTATAGGACTTTAGAAAATAAATAGATGAGGAATCTGAGGAACAGTCCTGAAAGGGCTACGTGACTCCTTGAAACATAAGCTTCTCTAGCACTTTAAGGACAAACAACATTCATTTCTACATTTCTTCCAATTATACAAATTTAATTTGCCTGGATTTTCTTTTGTTTTTTGAAAACACACAATTGCTGGAAAAAGGAATTAGTAGATGTACAGGGTTATTAAACATGGCATTCATCCATTGGTCCTACACAGAAAATGCAGCACTGAAAAAAACAAAGCTGATTAATATGAAAGGCAGCTAACCTAAAAACTAAAACTTGAACTGAACGGTGTGTGCTAATCTTTCTCAAATACACTTATGAAAGCTAAATTTGCTGGTATTTGTCATTGCTATGTGGGTGAGTGTTCATGTGAATGATAGCTCCTCTATTTTGAGCAGACCAGTACAGAAAAAAAAAAGAATTCTGTCCCCACTGTTAATTTTCAGATTCTCTTGTCCATCTACAGCTGCTTGAATAGCAAACACTTTACAACCTGGGGTCATTTGTGATAAACTTTGTTAAAAAGCCGCCATTCATTACCAGTGATTTCTTTAATCCTCAAGTTGTTTGTAAGGAAAAGATTGAAATTGCGTGTTATTTATTTTTTGGGTCTACAATCAAAATAACTCAACACGTTAGCCACATTAATAAAATACTTGCCAGATTGAAATCTTAATAGCCAGTCTTAGTCTTGCTATTGTTTACTGAATGTGTGTTTGCCAGCCTATCTGGAGACATAAGGAAAATCTTAATGGCTGTGGCCACTCATTAGCAAAGTACCATGGAGTCCTAATCCCATAAAGATATTAAACTATTTTTCCTTACAACAGTAACAAATGAAGGGAATTCTCATTACTTATTAAGATGTGGTACATTCTTTGCATATTGAGTTTCTTCTTATACTTTGAACTCTTATCCCTCATCATTCTATTTCTGAGGCTAAGATCAAAGTAGATCGGCCTTACAGAGCTACAGATGAGTGGCCGCCTTTCAGAGAATATTAATGCCCTCTTGAAGAGCAAAGCTGGGAAGGAGGTGTAATCCCCTAAAGAGTGAGCCCTGGGAGCCTGGTAATACTGAACAACTGTAGCATACTCGATGGATCAGCTGTTAAAGAGCACAGCCTTGCTGAGGTGGAGCAGCTTCTCCCAGTTTAACAATGTGGCCCAAAGCTCAAAGCAATAGTGAGACTAAGGCTTTTTTGGAACTAGAGAATCGTGTAAATGTGGATTCTGGCAGACTGGCACAGCAATGTGTTTTATAGCAGGAAAATGTGTGACCAATTTTGTATTTTGTGTTGCAAAATTTTCTGGCTTCTCTGCTTCAGACTTGTGACTTCGCCAGTTTTAGTGTCTGTGTCTCGCTCCCTCACCTACTCAGGGCTGGCATTATTGATAAGCTTGTTGGCACAGGGCAAGACAGTGTCCCCCTTTGACCTCCCACCTCCAGCAGTGATTGCAGGTTTTTTTTTTTTTTTTTTTTTTTTTTTTTGCCTTAGACTGCTTGCAAGCCTTTTAAAGAGGAATTACTTTAGACCCTTGTTAAAGCTAAGGGTAAACATGCTAAGTACTAAGACATTCAGTGGGTATCGTTATATGAAAAGAAGAAATGTTATATTCATTACAGAGGAAAATCTAGTAATAAAAAGTATTACCTGCATTTATAGCCCTTGTAACCTAATTTTTGTGACAAAGCAAAGAAGTAAAAACATTTCTTTCTGCCTTTCAGTGACCCCTATAAGAAACCCCCCACGGAGTCATTTAGGATAGTAATTTCACTGAAAATATATGTAGCTTTACTTTGCTTGCTCTTTTTAAATTAATAATCCTTACCAATGATAAATTTGAAAGTTTTTAAAGACATTTGCAAAAGCACCTTCAAATTAGTAAGCAATTAAAAGAAATAACAACTTAAAAGACATTTTCCATAACATAAAAATGTGACAGAACATGGAGCTGTGTTGTTCAAATGTTAAAACTGTACATAAAATACCCCTTCAATATATGCTGCCAGTAAAAACCAAGGCAAAGCAGGTCATTAAAGTGTCAGACTTGGGGCAGAGTGGAAAAAATGCTGCGTTTAAAAGTAAACATGTAGACCTTCTATAATTATTTCCCCTTAAAGTTAACTGTTCAAAAAAAAAAAAAAAGAAAAAAAAAAGGCACACTTTCTCCCAGACAAACAGCTCTGCATCATTGGGATGAAGAGTCAAACTCTAGTCCTAACCATGTTCCAAAGGGAAACTAGGGAGTTTTCTGGGCTCTTCATACAGTCTGTGAATGTCAACTTCAGGTATGAAATGTCATTCTCATTTATCCAGTTTTTCTAAGGCAGAAACAGAGCGGTGTGTTCAAGCTATTAATTTCTGCATCATTTATGCTAAGGCTGACTATGAATAATGGGAGCATTAGAAAACTTGAGAACCCCATGCTCAACAGGGGTAGCCTTGGGAAGATACCCAAGGGCTTCCACTGACCAGCAAAAAGACTTTCACATTACAGTTGTGATGATGTTAGTATCCAAATGCAGGGTTTTAGCACTGCTGTAAAGAGCTCAGGCTAGAAAACTGTGCCCAATCCCTTCTTCTCACATGAACTAAAACTGCCCTTGAAACTTGTAGATTATTTGGTTAGTGTAAGAGAGACCCATACACTAGTTATGGGGCGCTGGAAGCCATACTAATGCTGCTTAGCTGAATTAATTTATTTTGCAGTCCAGAGCAGATAAATTGAGATAGTAAAAGTAAAACCAGTGAGATACAATGTTTCTGTACTGAAAATAGAAAGGTTGTATTCTGCTGTCACTTTTCCTATTCTCAGAGCTTTTTGAGGCAGTAACAAAGACTGACGAGCCAGAAGGATATCAATCACATTCCAGTTTTGTTTCCCTCTGACTGGAAAAACGTGCATCATGGCCCTGAAGAAAAAATGTCATTAATTTTGTGTATTTCAAGCAAATGAAGTCAGTACAATATCTGCACTGTATCTTTTACGGAGCTGAATTCCTAAGCTAGGTCTAAAAGGTGGCAATGCCCTAGTAACAATCGTGTCCAGCAAGCACAATTCCAGATTAATAGGACAAGTGCATAATTGAACAACACCGCTGATGTACACAAAGTTATTCCAGATAACTGGTTTCACCAAAAAACTAGAGGGCTCATAAAACTAAGATAAATTTAATGATTAGAAAATAAAAAGGTTGTTGCTTACAACTTGAATTTCTATGCTAAAATCAACCCCCAGGCAGTTTCTAAGACTCCCACTGAAGTCCACGCAGACATACAGGTATCTGCTTTTGTCCTCTAACATCTCCATATCTCCCTTCCCTAAAACTAACAAATACCACCACTGAAAGTACAGGCTGTCAGGTTTACAATCAGTGATTAAAACCAACATTCCTCTGTTTTCCATCTGATAAGAGCAGAGCTCAAAGTGGAGAGACAATGGGGAAACACAAAGGAGCACTGAGAACGTTTATTTAACTATTCGTTTTTGTTTAAACTAGTTTCTGCAATGCAAATGTTTTTAAGATAGAAAGCAAGCCTGTAATCATGGTTTAAGACATGTTATACTCAAAATACACAGACTATGGAAGAATATTCATCTTCATAATTATGCTTTCTTTTTCTAATTTCCAGTATTTTACATAGGATGACCAAATATGTCAGAAGGTAGAGCACTCAACTAAGTTTTAGTCTCATATAATTGCCTCAGCAGAAAAGCAAAGACTTGCAACTTTTGGACAGCTGTGGTTTGACAACTATTAATATCAGATCTATTATGATCAATAGTTCGTCAGTATGTATGGTCAATATTTCTTAGTCATCAGATTACAATTGTAACTGTACTAAAACAGGTAGAGCATACAGCGTATATATATATTATTTGCCAGCTCTATGATTTTTTTTAATGATAAAAAAATAATACTTAAACAGTAATTACATTAGATGTTGTAAAGATGATACCTGGTTAGGTAAAGTCTTCAAGTAAAAATTGAAAAATTTCTTTGAACAAATTTTAAACCAACTTGGTGGCTTTAGTCCATTCCAATATCTTGCATCATTTCATTGAGCCATTTTGATGCAGTAATAGGAGCCGAAAGCCAGGTTTAATGCATCATGGAATCGTGGCTTGTGACCCTTGGCCTTAATGAAGTCAGCACACCATGAACCTGGAGAACCAGTACTTAATTTAAATGGTAGGTTTCTTCTCCTGCTAACAAATATCCAGGATGATGGTCCTGGTTCAGTAAGATTTACTAGTCTTATGACATGTCTGAAGTTTTTTTTTTTTCCCCCCTTAAAAGTAAGCAAAAATGTTATTTTTACCTGTGTTCTTCATGCACAATTGTCTTCAATCAGTAGTGAGGACTCCAGAGCTGGTTTTCAGGTTTCATTGTGGGTTCTTGAACCTAGATAAAAAGAATAGAATAGCTTTCTCAGGAAGTGCTAGCTTACTTGCTGTTCACTGTGAAAATGCTAAAAGCTGGTTCTTCGCTGATTTATTATCTAACTTCTGTTACTCTCCTCCTGGCTACAGGCTATAACCAACAGCCAATTCTCCATTATCAAGCTGAGAATAATAGGTGCAGCTTGAAAGTACACTCATTCAATATTTCATAGATTTTAAGATCTTCAAAAACTTATTTTAGATAGTCTGAATTTCTGTGCCATAATCCAAGAAAATATCTTAGAAAGATGTTATTCATAACTATTTGGCTTTGATTGCTAACGAATCTAAGGATATAAAAGTATGTTCAGACCTGAAATAATCTGCAGCAACTTGACATAAGGTTTTTTTTTTTTTTTTAATTTTCTTCTCTGTTCTATTTGTCCTCTGTTCTCTCATACCAGTACATGAACATACTGGCACTCGCACCAACTTTCCCATTCCCTGACTCCACACTCCCCATTCTCAGTCTTGTCTTCTGGACTGCTGCTGCCACTCAAGGCTCCAGAATGCCCTGGACTGAATTGTTCTCACAGATTTATTTGCCTTTAGCTGTTAGATCCCATCCTGACCTACCCCAGAATAGCTGTTCCACATTCTCTTTAAGAAATTTCATCTCTTTTTCAATACCACCTAGTGTTTCTAGCAAGGATGACCATGAACTTCCCAAATAATAGTAGAAACCACCTAACTCCCAGAGGACATGCTTCCCTTGAAGTGCTAGAGCAGTATTATGGGAGAGAGGAAAAGAGCTTGGGGAGAAGATGCCTGCAGGAGCTGCAACATGTACACTTGTGGATATTAGGAAAAAGGCAAATAATGCCATTTTCCTCATGTTACTTTCTTTTACTGTTTTCAGTTCTAAGTGATCCCACTCTTTCCTTCTGTCCCTAGTTTTAATTATTAGCATCAGCTCATAGTTCTTATCCCTTTGGCCTCTTCCTGTTACCTTTAGTTTCTTTGTATTTTCTTCTAATTTGCAATTTCAGTGGTGACTGTAAAACAGGTGGTCAATCTTTACATTATATAGAAATTTGGATATTAGCTCCAAACACTGTGCAAATGGACCTACTGCAGAGCCAAAGCAGGGCACAGACAAGGACTTTTCTGTGGCTTCCTGCTATTATTTTCATAGCACAGACTCAATTGACACAAGAATGGAGGCAGCCCCCTGAGAGTCCTCAGGCCTGTACATATATAATTTCCAGACACCCAGCAGCAAAACTATACCTCCTTAAAAGCCATCTACATACATATTTTGAGATCTAAGAGGAATCTTAAAAGCATGCAACAAACATAGCTCAAAACTCTCCCTGTGCCCAACAACCACCACATGCACTATTGTCTTTCTACAGGGCACCTGTAACTTTGTGATGTAACCAGCAAATAACCTAGGCATGAACTATAATAAATCATGAACATCAAGCTACCTTGTTGTTGTAACCAATTCAGAGATGGTTGTGTTTTGTTTGTTTGAAAGACTGCTAATCACAAGGTGCCTAGGGCTCTCTCCCTGTAACTCACATTTCTTAGAGTTTCCTTTTTACTTTCTCAATTCTTGTTAACTGTGAAGACTGTGGGACTATTTGTTTAATTGACATGTACTCAAACTGGCATTGCCACCAGAGCAAGAAATCCCACCTATCTTGCCAGCAGGTATTTATTCCCATACTGTGGAAGGGCAGGCATTCCCATAGCAATGTAGTGAATTCATACAGCAAGTTAATAAAAAAAAAAAAAAAAAAAGTCAAAATAGCAACAAGTTGACCAGTGAATGGACAGGGAAAGTAAGAGCATGTGCAGGCAGCACAGGACACCTGTGCTCACTAGCCTTTTAACCCAGCACAGGAACTGCAGAGCAGTTTGTCTGCCCACAGCCACAAGTAATCTGGCTGATTTTCACCAATTACAGAAAGGGAGAGATTAGGGATAATCTCTGTGGTCAGCCAGCAGAACAGGGGAGTTGAGAGCTTCTACCAAGGGATGGTGATAAAACATTTCCAGTCAAAACAGCTGCTTATAGATGTAACATTTGGCATTAACAAAACACGGCTTGAAAAAAAACAAATTGCCTGAAATATTTTCAAAAATGTGCACATGATCACTTTTGCCAGAGGACACATGGTGTTGTATCTCTACAATCAGTGGTATGAACTGTTCATGCAGACATCTTTAACTGGCACAGTTATAGCTGGAAAAGTGGCTACCCGTGCTTTCCCTTCCCCTTTGGTGTTAACTCAGTCATTCTGCCTGTCTCTGCTGAAATCAATAAGTGATGCCACACAGCCCTGTGCCCTGTAAACTGCTCAGCAGCTTTAAATGCTGTGCTGGGGTTTAGATCTATAGATGACCTCCTCTTGTTTCTTGCTCTCATATTGGGAGAGCACCTCATAAGAAACAATGATCTGATTTGCCTTCATTTATGCTGTTGTTACATTACTGAAGTTCAAAATCAGTATTTTGAAGCAATAGTTAGAAATCTAGCAGAGTTCCTGTGTGAGCTGTCATCACCATCTGCACTGCCATTGACTTTTCCTATGTGATCCAGCTGAAAAATAACCCAGCAAAAAAGAAAAAAATATTTTTTTGTTAGATTAGTTTGAGTCCAGTTCTCTGCGTCTGTGCAAACACTTCTGTTGGAACAAGGCAAGAGAAGCAGCAGGGGCCGGAGCTGCTGCAGAAATGCAAGGGTAGCCACATTCCTTGATATTTGAATAGATGGCCAGCCTGACAAAGTAAAATATTTTTAGGTGGATTCAAACTTTTTTTATCATTCTTTTTTTCACATTCATAATAGAACTGACCCACAAAAAATGGTGTTTTTCCGGTGGATCTGTTCACACAATACTTTATGTTGGCAGTTCATTTCTCTCTTAGTCATGTTTTCGGTTTTTCTTTAGCAGATGTTTACAATTACTCCTTAAAATGTTTCCATTTTCTGTGATCATTGAATGTGAATGAGGTGACATTTTTAAAAATAATTGTAGCTTTTTTTTCTGGCCAGAAACCATGTTGTTAGATTCAAATAGTCTTTGTCTTTTCAACTGTGGTAAAAGTCTTATATCTTTGTAACAGCAGCATCTGCACCAGTCTGCCTACTCTCTCTTTTTTTTTTTTTTTTTTTTTTTGGCCAAAATCAAAGTGTTATTTGTCATTATCTGAATATATCTTGTATCTGGGAATCAGATGTGTATATGACTTTTCATTTAACCTTAAATACATCAGGCCTAATGTCCTGATTTTGTACTTGAGAATTTCTTGGAGGACTGCAGAACAAATGGTATTACAGGAGCCCAAGTTTTGGAAACGCAAACGAAGGTTTCTTTGCTTTTCTTTCAGTCAGTTTTTTCATTTGTTTTTATTGACCTCAATTTAAATCAAAGTTCTCACAAATAATTGCCATGTTGCCAACACCTGCAATTACGTTGCAATGTTTGTAACGCTCCAAACTTGCTTCAAACCCAGCTCTGGGGAGTTGTGCAAATTATTTAAAAGATCATCTTTTTCTTCTTTTTTCTACTTCTGTTCCAACAAATATATTTTCCAGTTGCAGATGAAAATAATAGAATGTCATACATTTAACACGAAGGCTCCAAAAAGTGCCACATCTATATTTTAAAAGATATATTTTTTTAATAAAGTCTCGTGACTTTTGGAGTGCTGACTCATGATTTCTGCATGCTTGACATCAGCAATACCACAACTGAGAGAAAATCTTTGTGAAAGATTCCTTTCTAGTCCTCTTGAGACAAAGGGATCCTCCAGGAAAAAAACAAAAAACAAACAAAAAAAGAAAAACAACAACAAAAAAAGAGAAACAACTGTTTCTTATTCATGATAGTTCTCAGTTAAAAACAAGCAGAAAAAACAACCTTTAAAGTGAACAATCTAAAATATCTGCCAAACCATTCATGCTTGCTTTCTGCACCATAAAGGCTGAATAAAGGTACAAATACTTCTTTTCTTTGTTAGGATGCTATTAAATTATATACTGTATGAAAAATAAACCTCTAGTATAATTTAATATTTTTTCAACAAACAGCTTCTTTTAATATGGCAGATTCTTCCCTCTTTCTTGTCAAGCGAGAAGCCTGGCATTAGGAACAGAAAATGACTTTTTCATTAATGATCATACGTTATTTTTAATTATACTGTGATTTTTTTTTTGTTTGTTTTCATTGAAGAAATGTAGCAATTCTATGATTATGTTCCTTCTCCTTAATTAAAAGATGTTTTCCTTTACTAGGAATAAAAAAAAGTCGGAGAGAAAGGAAAATTCACTGACAAAAAAGAGCCTTTTTGCTATTAAACAAGAACTTTGGCCTATAAATTAATGCACTTCTGTTGAAGCACACTAGTTAATCCCGTAACTCAAGCTTCTGCTTGCTGAAAACAATTAGAAATATTCCTCATTCCTGATATTACAGAAGATAATCAATAGCTATCATTAACATTGCTGTTAGCAGTAATAGAAAGAATATAATAATGTATCATACTAAAAGTAAAAATTTGATCCTGGAACTGGCTGGTTTAGTGATCAAAACTAGGATCCTTTATCAGGCAAAACTTCCAATTAATTCCAAATAGTTTTACTACATTAAGACTCCAGGATAAATTGCTTGTGGGTGGGATAAAAATGGTTGGTATGTGCCTGTATTAGAATTAACATTTTTGGCAGGGTCTTTCAGAGGCAAATCAGGTCAAAGGATGATTTACAAAACTGTCATTGTCATATGGCATTAATTTGATAGCTCATTTCAATTGACATCTGTGAGAAACAGTTGGACATGCTGCTTCTCTTGCATTAGCCAGACTTTCTAATTAATTATGCAAAGATGAAAACAAACACACAAAATTAGACTGAAAAGTAAAACTACACGCAAGTGAAGGCACACCTTACCCCAAAAAATCACATTAGAACTGTCTAAATCTGTATTTTGTTATGACTCACCTTTGAATAGCTGGTTTTTATTAATATGGGAGGAATCATGCAAAAACATCAGAATCATCATTCATTGAGTATTGCTCAGCACATAATGCGAAGCCTTCCCCGGCACCACAGATGACTCCTTTTTTCTCCGTGCATCTATTTTACATACAAACACGAATAAAAACACTATTACTATTTCTAAATACTCCTAATATTTCTAATACCATTACTACCACAAAAGCCTTATTACTTCCTCACCATTAGTCTTTTGGAAAAGGCATTGAAATTAGAGAAAATTTAAATTTTTCACCAAGTTGTATCTCTTTAATAGTGAACTACAAAATAAGTTATTTGACATTTGCTTAATCAATCCTTTAGCTTATCATGAACTCTTGCTGGGTCTCTAAACATCAGTAAGCATAAAACCAGTTTAAGAATCCCAGAGCATCACTTCGTAACTGTTCCTTAATAATACTATCTCATGTTTGTAGCAATATTTATAACCCCTTATTCACCCAGAAGCTTTCTTTTTTTTTTTTTAATTTGATATCATATTTTCATGTTACTTCATAGAAATATATATGTATAGAAAACATTCCCGATTTTTTAATTCCCATTTTTTTTTTTAATTGGCAAGGTGGCATTAGGACAAAACAAAAAAACTTCATATATAGTAATACTAACTAAAGGTTTTTTTTTTTTTTGTGAGATATACATAAATAAGATGGAGAAAAAAAATCCTTATGAGATAATTTATAGAGCATTTCAACAGTCTTAACAATACTTGAGCTATGAGGTATATGAGATCTTTTCTTTGGGGGCTATTTTGCCCTAGAACCAAAATTGTAATACAAGATCTCAAGCCACCAGCCTTTCCCCCTTTCCCAATACAAAAAAAAAAAAAAAAAAAAGTCTTTAAAGTCTTCAGCTCAGCTTGTGCTTCCGTTATACAGCACATTAGTCAATTCATGTACAGAATCTCCTCATGTACAGAGGAGAGCAATTATTTCTGAACATATATCACTTTGCAAAAAAAAAAAAAAAAAAAAAAAAGAGAAAAGATTACTTACATGTTTAGTATGCTTTCTGAAAATGACTATGCCTGAAATCAGGGTTATCCTGGAATTAAAAAATAAATAAATAAATAAAAATGTAATACTAGTTCTTGGCTATACAGATTGTTGATGTAGATATGGGGTGGTGTAGACTGAAAGGACTGTTTGTTGACTGTTTCTTTCTGACATAGTATATGAAATGCATTCTGAGGTGGTCTGCTGGTTGCCTGCAGTGCAAGAGAAGAAACCGTTTCCCTTTTGATGTATAATTTGGCTTCTGGTTTTTGTTTTGCTTTCCTTAGAGCACTGAAGGCTGACCATGACTGGAACTGGTAGAGGATGTCAGACTGAAATGTAATTGCTCTCACTCTACCAGAGTGTCTAGCTGGGGTGTCTTCCTCGCATTAAATCAACCTTCAGATGTGAGGTCAATGAAGCATTTCCCCAGGTCAGATCAGTATGAACTATTAGATTTGTTGTTGTTGTCGATTTTGCTTAGCACAGGAGGTTTGAATTAGCTAAAATAATTTGAGAATTTTGCCCCCCAAAATGTAAGTGAATGGGTCCAAAAGCAAAATAGTTAGGAAATGAGCCTGTTTACAGAGATGAAGTAAAAAAGTTCTCTTTCTGTCCTCATAAGTACCACATGCAGAGCTATTTATGTTGTTATGCTTTCAAACAAAATATGTGCCAAGTTCCAAAGACCGTATCATAATCATTTGTTGCATTATGTTATCAGAGCTGCCAAACTATTGAAATAATTTTCCAAAAGTCGTGTATTTATAATACTAAGATTCTGATCAAGTATCTTCTGAATAAAGGTCTCTGTAACAGTGCACATGTATCCAATTGTAACGACTTATCAGAGGAGTGACTCCATCACTCCATGACTGAAAACACCATATCTCAATTAATTTTTCACAGCCAAGCCCATTTGTCCAGCACCCAGCACAAAGTATAAAGATGATGTCTGTTGTCTTGTGCATCAGAAACAGCTTCTAGGAATGCAGAGGGAGGAGGCATTGTGGTAAGCAGTCAAACTAGCCTATTCCTGGCTGTCACATGTCAGGACAAGGAGTTTCTGTATTGCCCAATGGTTAACAAAGTGGCCAGTAAGCATGATGACTTCTACAGTTACTACATTAGAATCTGAAGAACAGAAATGTATGCGGTTGTGTTTGGACACACTTTGCATTTGGTTCTTTCCTGCTATGAATGGACTGGTGGCATTCCATGATTCCCCCCTTGGACAGATATCCCAGCGTTCCAGCTTGTGGACTCAAATCTGCTTCCTTCATTCACAACACATATCACCTTTAGCCGTGAAGAATCCTGTTTAAATTAAGTAACACACTGGATTAGATTATGAACTTCCACGACTTACTGGCTATCAATTATTTGCATGAATAATTGCAACTATGATATTTCAATTACTTAGAGTGAATACAGACACTCCAGTCTTGCCAAAAGATGTCTAACCTTGGACTATCTTTTACCGAAGAAGCTATGTTAAATTGACTGACACTGAAATAACTGTTTTGACAAGTCAAGGCAGTACCAGAAAATAAAATGGACTTGAACATGTTTTCCATAGGAACATACCATCCATTCATATCAACAACCGAAAGAGCAATACAAAGATGAGGTACTCAGTACGAAGACGAGGTACTCTTGCACGGTCTATCTTTTCATTGTTGACAATATATCTTGAAATACAGCCCCTCAGAATAAGAATGGAAATATTTCAAATGTGTACAGGTATTTGTGCTAGCAGCAGAAAATATAAATGTACAGTATTTCCTTGGTATATTTTGTAGCACACTGCAATAGCTTAATATTGTTAGCTGGCAATCAACATACGTACATGAATCCTCTAATTATCATATAACTTACAGTACCAGTTAGTCTGGCAAACATATGTAAGCATGTGCTTATCCTATAGCACAGTGTTTTGTTTTCTGTAATACAATAAACAGCCATTTACAGATAAAGATAATAAACCATGTTGAACCTCTAGCTTTGATTCTATCAGTGTCATATATCAGTGAAATTACCGGGACTCAGCATAAGATTAAATTGACAAATCCTGGCCCATCTACTTTATTAGCATTCTTTTACCAGGGATTTAGTAACCAACCACTACCTACAGACCCTTGCAATGAATTCAGCTACAAAGCACTTCTGTCTCGCGGTATAAACAAACAGCTTGCCAACAAACTGGCATTTCACAGATGATTCTCTCATGTTCTCAAGAAACGGGTAAAACAGTTGTGATGAAATGTCAACAGAAATATTGGCAGATCAGAGCTGAGCAAGTGAATCAGCAAGACATTGTAAGCATCTTAGCCTGCACTAACGTTTCGAAAATCCAGATATTTCTTTCACCTACCTTTGGGAGAACTAAAGGCAAGATTTTATTAATTAATAAAATGTTATTTGAGAGGTTAATTAAGAAATTATTTGAATATATCTAAAAAATAGATACTGGTTGAAAAGTTTGGACAGAAGCATCTACACAGGAATGATGCAAAGTAGTCTCCACTTTCTTTACATTTTTTTCCTTATATTTGCTAGATTAAAAAAAAAAAAAAAAAGGTAGGTCAGGATAAGCAGTATGTGCACTTAAAATCTCTGAGACATTCTAAAAACTTATCTTTTGAAAACTGATGGCAATCTCATGCACTACCTAATTCAGGTTTCCTGTTTTGCTCAACTGTTAATATATACATAGAAATTAGAATTACAGGGTTCATAGGAGGCCCTGTGCCCCAACTCTTAATCACTGCTAAATGTTCCCCAAAGCTGGAATCACTATCAGCTTTCTATGCAGGGAGAGGAGCAAACTCATCATGAAGTCTTCTCCCCACAGAGAATTACACGGGAAGGCTGGATCCTACCCAACACACACTTTATTTTATACTCATCTCTCTTTTTATATTCCAGGTCATGAACAAAAAATGTTGGAACTAGAAAGAGTTGAACACATCCATGTGACTTTGTCTGGTTTGTTTTTCTTTATTGTCTTAGCACAAAACATTATTATTAATCAGCTCATCCATGTACCCACCCTGATGAGACCCTACAATCAAGATACTTCTTTGGCAACTATTTTGACTGGATGTTTTAAAAAAACTACGTTAAAATCCTCTTAAAACTGCTTAAGATTTTTATCTGAGAGGACTTGATTTGGTCATGGACTTTTGCTTTCCCTCATAAAGCCACCATACATGTATATTAATTATATAAAATCAACTAAATATGTAGGTGCTTTTTCTGTTTAGTTAAGGTGGCAAACAGCTTATGAAGAAGTGTCTGCAAGGCTCTGGCAGACACTACTTCATGCAACTTTCATGACTGCATTTACTTCTAATTGATCCTGCAGTACTGTGCCCCTTATGGAGTGTTTTAAATCAATGTCAGCCATAAGGTAGTACTAAACTGTATAAGATCCTTTTTTTTGGTTGCAGTTAAAGATAACTTATTTATGAGGACATGAGTAAAACTAAGTATATGAATGTAAACATGGCTTAAAGTTTCAGAATGCTTCCTTTATTTCACAGGTTGAAGAATATCAGGCATCAAAGCATGGATCTTTTCCATTTTCCATCATGAAAGACTCCACAGGGCCCCATGAATGCTTCCCCTTTCCTTATTTCTCCTTCCCCCCCCATCCCTTTATTAGCTGGATACTAAACTGATTTTCTCATTACCTAATACAGCTTCCAAGTAGAGTGGAAGGGAGGCTCTTCCAAAACATGCAGTGTTCTGGCATTCACCCAGCATTTCTGTATTACCATCCACGCTCTCCGTTAGTGAAGACATGCATGATCCTCACCAGAACAAGTAGGACTTCTCAGCCCACAAATCCCAGCATGCACGTTACTAATAGCTCCTGAATACAATTGCTTCAGTGGAGTTATTCCTCATTAATTTCATTTATGAACATTTTTAATCCAGTCTCTGTGCAGTATGAATGATGACTCAGGGAGTGGTTGTGGATCACTCCATCAGCCAGACTGCTTTATTCTGGGGTAGCTTCATATGTACTTCACAGCCTGAAGTACCTCCAAAGCATTGTTGTAAACACAAGGCTTGTTCTTATTGGAGCGCTGAATAGTCCCAAATCCTAATCGAGTCTGCAATGACCACTGTATTTGGGTTAGTTATACAAAGTTAATTATTCAAAAACAGAATTATATTTTATCAGTAATAACAATATCAAGGAAAGGAATGCATGGTGGAATTAGTGAAATCATGCTATGATCATGCTAGTCTGATAACTCAAGAATCCCCAGTATTGCTGACGTAGAATTGATAAGTGAAAAGTAATGAATAAGAATGCTATTCGTCCTTTATAAACTACATTTTTCCTTTCAGATCCTCATAGAAATTAGGATGGAGTGTAAATCAGTATGATGGACATCTGAAATCTCATCAAGATCAATATGAAAAAAATAAAGATTGTGATTTAACTATAGGCTATTAGTGCTCATGAGTTCTAAACAACGGTAAAAGACTACACTGAAACAGAAATTGAATGATTATACAAAGAGAAATCATTAATTTACTTGATTTTCCCTTTTATGGATTAAATTTCATGCTTTTGGAAGTTTCTCCCTTCTCCCCAGTCAGAGACTAAATTTTACAATTCACCTAAACAGAGAATGTTTCTTTAGAAATTTCAGAGCTCCATACATTAAGTACCTGACCCACGATTCCACTGGCACAGTGCAGTTTGCCTCTGAGAATGAAGCCTATGATCAGGAGCTCAGCACTAATATATTCCTCTAACCCAAGTTTAATGTGAGTTTCACGGACGATGTTGCATTCACCTGAATTCAATGTCAATTGTAATGTCTTTAAAATCTCCATCCTGTATTTGACAGCATAGCTCCAAGTGCTTGGAACTTTTGCCACAACTCTTCTTTGAACGGCAAATTCCACTTATCAGGCAACCTGCAAAGGAAAGTTAATACAAGCCCAGCATTTGTTTGGCCTCGTAAGGGATGATGTGCAGGGGGCCTGCTGTGCATACAGCAGTAACAGAGCCAAAAATTCCTACTGTGTTTAAATAACTATCTAATTTTTGAGCCAGAGATTGTTCTTTTATATCTTGACTTAAAATACAACATATCTTTATAACATTTTTTTAAATATTAAAAGTTTTTGTAAACTACTCAAAAGAATGATACCAGGTTTGGCCCCAACCCAGCAAAGCACATGTTTAACCTTCTGCATGTCACTAGTTTCTGAAATCAATGGGACTGCTGAGAGTAAATCATGTGCTTCAGTGCCTTCCCACAATAGGACCTTTACAATTGTTTTCTTCTGCACAGATAATTCTAGGAACCTTCACTGAACCTCAATGGCTTTCACATATGATGAAGAATCTCTGCTATAGGTAGGAGGAAACCTTGCTAAACACCTCTTTTTACAGCTTTATAGCCTTGTGTCCTATTTCTTTGTCAACCTGATACCAGAATATAAACCTTGTTGGATGCCTAGATTAATTATAAGCAGAGGGGATTAAATGCATGTACAAAAGCAGAGCCTTTCCTGGTGAGGAGGATAGACATATAATAAAGCAGTTGCAGATACATAAATTATATGTGCAACAAATAAAGTGTCTGACTTGCTCTAACGCTGAAGAAAACAAAACAGCAACAAACCACTATTTCTGTTTCCAAAGAGTGAAATACTTGTATGTTTGCAAGACTGCCTCTGAAGAGACTGGGGTACAGAATTCCATTCATGATAACTCCGTTAAATGGGCTTTTTGCTCTTCAAACCATAACCATACGATGGCACAGAGATCTGGTACTGCTAACAGCTCCACACGAGGTGTGGCCTGACTGTGTGAGGGTTGGTTGGTAGCATTTTGACTTGGAACACTGCAAGTGTCCCTGAATTACTGCAGAAACCCTTAGAATACCAGGAGCTGCTACTACAGTTGATAATTTTACAAAACAAATATGCATAATTTCTCTGTGAGAACAAGATTATTGAAATTCAGATAGACTCAATCTAAAAAGCACAGTCTTGCAAGAAACTTTGAACAAGTAAAAATAAATGGGTGATTTTTTTCCTAAGTATTGTTGTGACTTGCACAGGCACCATCTAAATAAATGGCATCACTTATGTAAGAAAAATTAACCTTAGGTCTTTTGAATGCCAATCCATCTGTTTTTCTGCAGCAAAAGAAAAAGATTTGCCTCACCTACCTCTTGCTGGCTGAAGAGCCCTCTCCTATGAACAACCACAGTTTCTGATGAAATCTATTACAAGCATTTAAGGTGAGAAAGTACTGCCTTCACCTTGGAGGAAAACCACTCTCACCTTTACCTCAGGCTGCCAAGCTGGTTTATGAAATAACATTGTGTTCTCATCCTGAAAACTATAACAACAACAACCCACCCTTACACAACTAGCAAATTTGATAGAGCTCTTCAGTAAGGAAATTTAAGCAGATTTCTGAGCAGCACTGGCTGAATTTATACCTATGGTCTCATTTTTTTTCAGTCACACCTGCACCCACACATTAGTGCCTACACTGCTCCATCAAGCTGTGCTTGATCCTTGCCTCAGGTGGAAGCCCTGAGTCCTCATTACTTACACTATCATTGCACAAGTGGCAAAATGGCAAATCCTTCACATCTTCATTAATTTACCTGAGTCAGGGTACAGGGCTGCTGCTACTTTAGCATGGCATAAATACCCACGTACCCTTACATCTGTAGCTGGGAAACATGCTGTTTTGCTGCCAGGCTGAGGAATTATTTGTGAACAGGATATTGCCTGAGTATGCTGATGAAAATGAAACCAGTGCTCTTTTGCATGGCCAGGGTTTGATTCTTCAGCTTCATCCTGCATCCTTTCTCAGGCAACAGCATTGGAGGTTTGCAGTCACTAACTTCTCCATCCAGGTAGCTTTTTGAAAACAGAGGAATGCTTTGAATTCACTGCAACAAGTAAAAACTAATTCCTAGCACCCAAATCCACCTCTGAGTTCAGTGATGTATTTCAGCCTCGCATGTCTGACATGCAGTAAAATATCAGCATCTTACAGTACCAGATACTAATTAGAAAAAGAAATGTGTTAGATGTCAGGCCTCAAGAAAGCAAACTTAACATTCTGACAGCAGCTGGAGAGTGATAGCCATAATCAAGCATTGTCCCTGCTTATATCTGTGCCAAACAACCTCACTTACTTCCAGCTAATTCTCCATCAGAGCTGATCTTTCTTTACGATTCCAAAGAAACATGTTGTCAGTTCCCACCTGCTGGCATTGCTAGAAATAAAACCACAGTTGATCGGATGCAATAGGTCAGCAGAATAGTACATTGAACTGTTTGTGCTTCCAAGCTGCGTTACAGGGGATTCACTAACGTTTATTAACCCTTTCTCAAATCATGGGCTTTGTTATGCTTTCATAAAGCGGCAAGATTTCGAGGATGAAAACACATCCTTTCAGGAATTTCAAAGGAAGCAAAATTTGGGCTTGCTGCCAGGCTAAAAGTTCGATATCATTTGAAAAACAAAATATATTAGAGAAGAAAGAAAATGCAGATGTCAGCCTAGTGACACAGAGTAATCTATTTGCTCAGTGCTTGTATTTTCCTACCAATTTTGTATTTTTCAAAAAGGACAATAAAAGAATTGTGCTCACTGCTAATTAATGACAAGCTGGTAAAAGCATCTATCCATTGTTCCATTTATTTCTTCATTTCCAGCAGTTAACAGCCCTGTTCTGAAATGAATCAATGTCGTTTACACAATGCTGTCACCCCTATTGTTTCTTTATCATCCTTGCATTTTCATAAATCGGAGGTGTTAATCCCTTAATGGCTTCTCTCAGAGCTCTAAAATGTATGCAAAATGGTAATCCATCCCCTAAACAATTCACATTTACACAGGCACACTCTTAAATATGTTTACTATCAAAATGAATCCTTTGTTTGGATCTAACCCTATCTGTTTGTTTTCTAAACACTGAAGCATAGCAGGTATGCAGCATCAAATTTTAATTAGTGACTATCAAGTAACCATGTCCTTTTAGAGATGTGGTTATCTTCAGAGGTGAGAGACTTTTCTTTCTTCCTTTCTTCCTTCCTTAGTTTCTTTCTTTTTCTTTCTTTCTTCCTTCCTTTCTTTCAACAGTCATGTTATGTACATATGGATGTGAGTACATGCCTGTCAGGTGTTGAAGGAAAATCAAGGGCTCTATCCAAGGATTGCTAATGGAAGGGAAAACTATGTACTGACTGCCCTTAGTGGTCTTGGGTTTTTCCTAAGCTAGAAGCATTATATCCTCTCTTGCAGAGACTGGAAAAGAAAACTGTGAAGTTGATCCACAATATTTTCAAAGCAGCAGACCAGGCTTGCTGATAAACTTAATACTTTGGTATTCATAAGTACAGTTAAGTCTGTGGTCAAATCTTTTGCAAGACTGAGACAGCAAACTTGCTGGGACAGACCGCACCTTACTGTTAATGCAGCTGACAAGGAATCTGCCTTGGAGGCCGGACCACTGATCTGTTTGGAAACTTCTGTAGTCAGTACCAACAGAACGTTCTTGTTCCCCAACACATTTTATAAGTTTTGAAAGTAAACTTTAGACAGCTTCATGTCTTCATCCCTCTTAAATAGCACTTTTTTTTTTTTTTTTTTTTTTTTTTTTTTTTTTTCCCATTAGGGTTTAGAAAGGTCTCTATCATGCCAGTGCTTCACATTCACTTCCCTAAATTTGATTCAAAGTCATTTAAATCAATGAATTTCACTTCATTGATATTGTATGGCTTTGGGCCAGCACCAGAATGAATTGCATTGGAACAACTTTCTAAGAATTATATGCAAAGAAGTATAGGATAATTTTGCTTTTCCAGAATCAAAGTGAAAATCTTCTCAAGTAAGATTTCAAACATATTCTATTCTATTCTAAAGAAAGTGCAGCTTGATGAGATATTATGCTGGCACTACAATCAAGATAAAAATGAAAAAAAAAAAACAAAACCACCACACAACAAAAAACACCATGAAACTGAAATGTCTGACAAACAGGCAGACAGGCATTTCAGTAACTTAGAAAAAAAGAGCATCAGTGGTAATAAAAGCAGCAGTATGAATAACAAAAAACAAAACAACAACAAAAAAAATACTTAAACATCACTTGTGTAATTCTGTTTAATTCACTTTTGTTTCAAGTTGCAGACTATGTATTGCTTAGAAGTGACACTGAAGTTCTCCAACAATGTATAATTGTGTGATCTGTGCTGCTTAGAGCATGGATCCTTGGAGTACTGACACAGAGAGAGAGAAGATCAAGGCTTGGCCGTGACCGTAACATGCTGCTACACAGCAGGCAAACGGTGCAGTTGAGCAGCTGCACCAAGGCGGGCTGTGCTGCCTTTTCCCTTTATGCTCGTGTTTTGACTTGTGTTAATCACCCATTGTTCTAGGTGGGAGAGCCAAATTAAAGGACGGGGTGATCGAATAGAGCTCCCATTCATCTACAGGAATCAGGTCAGTTCAAATTCCAGTGCACTAGGAGGTGATAAACAGGATTAGAAGTATACCTGGAGAAGTGTATCATTTAGATTAGGCAATTTAGATTAGGCAAAGTTAGATTAGCTAAATTTAACTAAGCCTAAATAAAAATACTTTAAAGTCTTCCCAAAAATTCAGCATCTGCCAGCATTAAACACCGAAGAAGGCTGGAATTCTCTTGGTGCAATGAATTTACAGCACCAGTTTTCAGGGGTAGAAGTACAGTGCAATGGGAGGATGAAAAGAGATGAATGGGAACAAAACAAAATAAAATCTCCTTGAACATTTTTCTGTGTGTTGTTCTGGGATAATCTTTAGCACGTTCATGATCTACAAACTGTCAAATTAGATGGTCATTTCCTAAATGCTTATAAGCATGGAGAGAAGTTTGACTCTACAAAATCTTCAGCCCATCACGTATGCTGGGATCTTTCCCAATGAGGGAATTCTTTCACTTGGTTGTATTCAGGTATACTGCCTCTCAAATCAAAGCTAGTAAGCTTTGCAAATTTTATGAGAATTCTCAGAAGATTTCAAGCCAAATTACCTTCAGCATTGAGGTTTTGGATAAACTTGTAATGTCAATCAAAAAGCATCATATACCATGATCCACAGAGCTTAAAGGTTTGCGAGGCATTCCTTATTATTCATGAACTCTGTGAGATCTAGGGACAGAAGCACATGGGTGTCTCCCATGCAGGCAGTGGAGGTGGGATGATACACTTTGGCCCATGAATCCCTGAGTTAAATTAGCCTTTCATGGAAGCTTATGGACCACTGAGCTGCACTAATACACCTTGGTGTAGTATTCTGATGACTTCCCTTAGGCTTCTGATTAGACATTTTTGAGGCTTTCAGGCTCCTATACCGATGCATCATCTTTTTGTCTTTTTTCCCACGCTGTCCTGGGATGGACATAGCTGTGTTTTGTGGTGTGTGTGAGGACTGAACATATTTGATCAAGTCAAGGTCATGACAAATTGTAAGCAAATTAATAAAAAAGGAGAAAAAGCAAGAGATCTGAATATGGTTTCAATCTACTGATGCAATTAAAATATTTTCAGGTTACAGAAAAGGATAATATGGCGCTGTGTTCCTTTTTTATTCCACTGTGCGTAGCTATCAAACATGACCTAAAATACAGCATTTCCTGTGACCTGACTTTTAAGTATTCTTTGTACAACAAAGCAAACAGCAGCATTTTTGTGGCTATTGCAACTGTTCTAAGTCACGGAAAGGAGGCAGAATAATTGAACATACATCATCATTTGCCAGAAGAGTCCCCAACTATCCCACAATATATATTTTTCAAAGGTAGCCCCTTAAAATTTCATCTCTGAATAAGCTTAAACTGTGAGGCCTGGCAAAGTTTTCCGAGTCTGGATTTTTAAAATCTAATTCTGTTGCAAACGCAACCACTCTGATTGTTTTGATTTAATCAAAACTGGCTGTTAAATCTCTAATTCTAATGTCTTTTCAATCTTTGCTCAAAGTGACACGTATGTACTCTGTGACTGTGCATTATGAAGTTAACAACTTGTTATTTGGTCTATCAGTTGTTGAATATTCAGCCCCTTGTTGGAATTGTTCAAAATGTAAAACTAGTTCTGCCTTTATCATTCCTGTCTCTCAATTCATTCTTAGGGATCACAGTTTTTCCAGAAATCAATTAAGAAAAAAACAGAGATGTTGTATTTTTAACTTCTGAAGGTTTCCAGACTCTCTTTGTAGTTGAAGGAGGAAAAGAATTAGGAAAGAGAATAAATACATACTTTTATCTTCCGGTGATAACCCAATACAAAAATATACCTAGTTTTAAAGACTTTGTCAACAACAGAATTAAAGGATGCATAAATTATTTTAAGATAACCACAGGAGCTACCCGTCCACTTATTTATTTTTGTTTATTTATTTATTTTTATGATTACTTGCTTTTCTTTGAAAACTGGAAGACCGATTGAGTTCCACAGATATTAGTTCATGTATATATATATTAATAACTGTGGAAGTTCATGGTATC